TACTACTACTACTACTACTCTCTCTCTCTCTCTCTCTCTCACACACACACACACACACACACACACACACTCTCTCTCTCTCTCTCTCTCTCTCTCTCTCTCTCTCTCTCTCTCTCTCTCTCTTCTGCAAATTACTCAACTCAAAGGGTGCTTAAATATGTCCTGTTATTCCTGCCCCAAACCAGAATACATTATAAGCATGAATTGTTTGTGTTTATAACCAGGAGGCAGAGCTGTCAACAAAAAAGCAGAACACGTAATTGACAAGATCCCAAATATGTATGGATATCCAGTGTTTTCCCCTCCAATGACACTGGCCAAAATCAACATACATGGGAGTAGCTTAAACAAAAGTACATTATAAACTTTATAATGTGCATTAAACGTTAAATATTAACTTTCCCCTTTCCGTGCTCCTCTTTTCCTCGGAAAAGCCCCTCTGTGTTTTTTGGCTCCTTTGTGTCCTTAGCGCCTTCTCATGACAGACGCACCCTTGAGCTCAGTTCTTGCCCCAACACTTCTTTTCATGCAGTTCCTGCCCCTGACACAGATACCCTTTGTCCTCTGTACTGGGCCCTAGCACCCTTCATTTACAGCCCCCTTTAGCCTCATTATTTGCTGCTGACATCCTCATTCACCGTCCCCACTGTGAAGTGGAAATTCTCTACATCCAGCCTCTCACACAGATTTAGGGAGGATCTGACCCCTTCACGTGGGTGCGGAGCGGCACAGAGAGGCCACCTGGCGTACACAGGGCACAGGAGATGAGAGGGGGAGGTGTCAGCAGCGCAGCCAGGCAGCAAGGGCAGCTGTGCTAACTGACCCCCTTGATGCCTTTCCACATCCAGCAGCACAATCCCCAGGGGTCAGTGCCACCAACAGGACTGCGAGTTTCACTTGGCTGCCAAGGCTGATGGTGTCCCACCCAGACAGGTGTGGGACTGCTCTCCCCAGAGCCAGGGAACAGAGCACCTGGAGGGTACGCCTTCAGGGCATGCCAGTGACCCCCTTCCGTGTGAAGGGGCAGGGCCCAGAGATCACTTCACAGCCCCACTGCAGGCAGGTAATCCAGAGGCACAGGAGGTAGGACCTTTAGCTCATTGGCATGTGGAAAAGATATTCAGATGCCGCATTAACAACCATCCATCACACAGATCTCAAGGGTAGCGAGTTGCGGAGCATATTGTGATAATTTGGCCTGGGGTCTGGATGACCCACATCAGAAAGAAAAGATCACAGGCATCTAGCCAGATGCAGATGAACGAGGTGTTTCTGCCTCCACCATCTGAGAATGCAAGAACAATGCAAGACAAAGGGTGGGCATGGCCCCTCAGTAACAGAGTAGATATTACTGTATCCACATCTCTACGTGCTCTCTCCTGCCTGTCAGCTGGCATCACCTCTGTCTTACATGGTTTAAGGTCCCATCAACTTGCTCTTGTCCAAGCCTCTAGCTCCTCTAGTCTCTCAGGTAGCAGGGAAACTGCACCATCTGAATCAATTGGAAGACAAAACATAGGGCTGCCTGTCATTTGAGTAGTGATGGCAGTGCAGCCCAGATCATCTGACTGCTTCGCCTTCTGGCTTTGTGCAATTTGGAATACAGGAATTGTCACACCCCATCAGACCAGTGATACCTCTAGTCCAGTATCCGGTCTGATGGTGGCGAGTACCAGCTGCTCCAGAGGCAGAACATTACTCTCTGGGATCTCTCTACGTGGAAAGAAAGGAACCACTGAAGCTCAATCCCCTTCAACTAACCGGTGTCCAAAGCCTCATGGCCAACCTTGTTAAACTCTCTGGGATCTTGTTAAAAACATGCCTGGATATTTGCCCTTTCTCCATCACTAGAGCACCAACCCAACTATATTTTCTTTCCGGCGCTACTGATTTTTCTGTTAACACGTATTATGTTTTATTGTTCTCCGGTTGCTATTATAAACACTGCATCGCTATATCAAAGAATAAAGTGGGGGCCTAGTATAGTTTAAATGAATGAATTTACTTCCTTGCAGAGACCAGATGCGAAGCTCTGGTTTCCTTGGCGAATGGGAAGGCACTGTATGAAAATAACACAGTTGGCAGCAGAGCAGCATATTACTGTGACAGAGGATACAGCTTGGAAGGGGAACCCATAGCAGAGTGCACGGGAACTGGAAGCTGGAGTCACCCAATCCCGCTGTGCAAACGTGAGTGTTTGCTCTTTAAGGAAGATTTCTAAGCATTAAAGGACAAATTCTGCTCTTTGTTTAAACCATTGTTAATTGAGAGTAAATCCATTGGCTTCGATAGAGCTAACCCAGCTTCATACTGGTGTGACTGAGCAGAATTGGTCAAGTTCAAAATCAAATACATTTGCATATCCCAGTTTTTCCTCACTTAGTGAAGTTCTGTAACTTAAGTGAAACTTTCCTTACATAGCGAAATTTAATCTTCCGCTATTCTGCGGTGTTGGGAGACACCTGTGTGCATGGTGAAGAACTGAATAGTCCTGAGGCACATTAAATATAACATCTGCCTACAGATGTTTGTGAAATTGAGAGAGTAAACTGTTCAGCAGCAGGTGACTTTATTTGGAAAAGGGCTTTAAATGGATTGAAATCTGCCCCTCTGCCCCCCATATAACCTTATTTGGCTGTAACTGATCTTAGATCTGTCTGGCGTTGCACTAGCTGGATCATCTCATTTTTTTAAATAAGAGACCAATGTGTCTTTAGCTTCATAGAAGCAGCTTCCCCTCTGCTGTTGTACTGAATCCTTGTCACATTTGTCACGCGACTCGTCCTATTGAAATCAATGGAAATGCTCCCATGAGGAAGGCCAGGAATTTAGCCCAAAATTACAGTGTGCAGGAACAATAGGTGACCTGTAAACTCTGTTGAATATTAATACTCTTCACTGTGTGAACCTTTAGGGACAGATTTCCTGGCACTCTGCCGCTTCTCTACACTGTTCCGGTGCCACTAAGCCGCTGTAAATCCAACTGAACCCAAAGGGTCTGCTTCTCGTTTACACGAAAACCTCTTGGATTTGCTCTAGCAGTGCAGGGGGATCTTAAAGCAATGTAAATTACATTGACATCCTCTTCAATGCCTGCTTCTACTGCCAGGGGGAAATCCTGAGCCCACGGAAGTCAAGGGGAGTTTTGCCATTGGTTTCAGCCGAATGTGGTGTAAAGTAACATTAGTGTAAAAGAGAATCAGGCCTGTTATCTTTATTTCATGACCTCAAGCCTCACAACTTTACACCTATTTAAAGGTGAAACTGGGGAGCAATCAATCCATTCATTCATTCTGCTGGTTTTGCAATTTGATGATGAAAAGAGGGAGAGAGTTTGCAGATATGCTTTACAAATATTTTTTCTCCCCCCCCCCCCCCTTTTGAACAGCAAATCCTTGTCCTGTGCCTTTCATAATCCCAGAGAATGCTCGCCTGTCTGAGACAGAATTTTATGTCGGCCAGAAAGTATCGATCAAGTGCAGGGAGGGCTATCAACTTAAAGGGCAAGCTGCAATGACCTGTAACCCTGACGAGACTTGGACACCAGCGAGAGCTAAATGTGAAAGTAAGTGTACAAACTGAATTCACGGCAGACGTTGTGAGACGCTGGCTGGGAGATGCCCCGTGTTCTTATACCCCTCCGGCATATTTCTCTGTTGGTGGGCAGCCCTAACAAGAAGGCCTAATGTCACTCTCTTCTACTTACAACCTTTAAGCACCAGTACGTAAGCCATTGCCCCTGGCTGGCAGTTGGAGGGGAGTGGGGGGAATGTCTTCAAACTGGCTGCCAGGCACATTATACACATTCGCTGTTTGATTCGCTCTGCACAATGTTGTGTCTGCTACAATGAAGCCCTATCTCCTGGTCGCCCCCTTTCTCTGTTCCCCACCATGCCCAGTTTCCCCCTTCTCACCAGGGCTAAGTTTGGTGCTAGTGCAGAGGTCTCTTTTCATTGCTAGACACCGTGTGCATTTCTCTGCACCACGCAGAAGCCTCTCTCTGCAGAGCTTTCCTCCCCACACTCCTCTTGGCAGCACTCAGCATCCTGCAGGCTCGCACCCTAACCAGACAGGGACATTACGTACCGTATTGTCAACAAGTTCCCAGATGCTGCAGCTCGTCAGCCCATTGTGGCTTCTTCTCATTTTTCTTTAGAGATTTCTTGTGGGCCCCCTGCTCACATCGAAAACGCCTTGGCCCGTGGTACCTTTTATCAGTATGGAGACATGATCACCTACTCGTGCTACAGCGGGTACATGCTGGAGGGGTCCCTGAGAACTGTGTGTTTAGAAAATGGAACCTGGACAAAACCGCCTGCCTGCAAAGGTAAGAGTCGTTTTTTTAACTGTGTGCTGGTGCTTTTCCTAACCTGCTGTACAAACACACAAGGAGAAATTCCCATATGACTTCACTGTAGCCACAATTTAACCCGTTGCGCGTAAAGTACAAACTCACGCCCTTTCTGCTTTAAAATAAACAAACACCCAAACAAACAAACAAATAGACTAACTTAAACCTTCTCCCTAACCTTGGCTGCTTCTGGGGTTCCTCTTTCGAGGACTGCATATCTCATACCCTAGATCAGCGTTTCTCAAATGCGGCCACCAGGGCCTTTTCTTGCGGCCACAGCCTCCTCAGCTGTGATGGGGGGGGAAGCAGTGGCCCCTCCGGAGATACAAATTGCTGGAGGTGTAGGCAGCTGGTGAATTCCACACTTTCCCGGGGGCTGGAGCAGCAGGCTTTGGTGGCTTCAGATTCCATCCCCGCGGTACCAGGCTCTGGTTCCAGGCTCTGTCCCCAGGCTCATCACCCCCACCATCCTCTCTGGGCCCCACTGCCTCCCTCCCCATCCAGGGCTTAATTTGTCCCAGGGCTTGCCAGGGCTGAGTAAGTAAGTCTGCTGTGAAAAGTGATATTAACAAACATACAAATATCACTTTTCACAGCAGCAGACTTACTAGCTATTAAGTTTTTTTTTTTAAAAAGCAACCAAAAAAAGCAAAAGAAACAACAACAAAAAGACAAGAACATGCAAAGCACCTTATTTATGTTTCTGTTCTGTTTAGTTCCACTAAAGAATAGAGACCACTGTACATTATTTTTATTACTGAATCTGAAAAAATCCCACATAAATAAATTACAATGATTTGGACATGTCTAGGTGCATATTTATTTGTTTTTCCTAAAATTAATTACGTATTTTAGGAAAAATTGTCAGCGTGGCCACCAGCAAGAGTTGGTAGCCGCACTCTGAGACCACCAAAAAATGTGTTGTGATAACTCCTGCCCTAGATCCCCTCTCTCCAGAGAGTCAGTCACACATCAGTTATAATTAGCAGGGGGAACAAGTTTCCTACCACTATGAATCTACAGAATACACTTAATCCTTTCCCAGGTGGAACAACACGTGCTAAACAAATACTACCAGCCTGTTACATTCGGATACTTAAAGAAATTTAGCTTTTTACTATTAAGGCAGAGCACTGCAGGAAAAGAAGGTGGCTGATACAACTGGTGCTTATTCCATCATTGTTGTTTAGCTTCTGCGTGTTGCTGAAAACAAGCTGTCTGCAGTAAGATGTGCAGAGATAAACTGATACAGCTGTACTGAAGTAATGCACACTGAGCACGGAGGAAGCATCACAGCATCTGTGTTGGCCAGTTTAAGTACAGAACTGTAAGGACTAGATGGGGATTTTAGAAAAATCCCCAAGATTTGATTGACAAATGGGCATGTATTTGCATAGCTGCATTTGCATGCAAATATACCCTAATTGTAGCACATATGAAAGTTAGTATATAAACACCTATGCACCCATTTGCACAACAGTTGCAGTGATTAATCTTGCATACATGGGTGCACAAACTCACATATTTTGCATGTAGACCTAGAGTCTGTGTGTGTCTGTTTCTTGCTCCCTCTCTATTTTTAAACCTGTCCCTAAATGGTGGAGAAGTGATCTTGAAGATAAAGACCGGATAGTCCATTCAGGATCACAGAGCTATCAGTGGGAATTCTTGTCAGTAAGTGTGTGTGTGTGTTTAGATATATATGTGTATACAATAAAAACATACATACATTAAGAAGTACGTCACCATTAAAAAGCTAGCTTTTACCAGAAATAATTACAAAGTGGTACGTGAGATGGCACGGTTCTTCCCTTTATTTAGAAGAGGAAATAACTGCATTGTGGCTATTAGCAAATGTTGATACTTTATTGGCAATCACTGTGCTTGTGTGGGTATGTATTTATGTCTAGCACTAAGTATATATAAACTACAGGGGCGGCTCTAGGTTTTTTGCCGCCCCAAGCACAGCAGGCAGGCTGCCTTCGGGAGGTCCACTGATCCTGCGGATTCGGCGTACCCGCCGCCGAATTGCCGCCAAATCCGCAGACCTCCTGCAGGCACGCCGCCGAAGGCTGCCTGACTGCCACCCTCGCAGGGACCGGCAGGGCGCCCCTGGCGGGTTGCCGCCCCAGGCACGCGCTTTGAGCCGCCGCTGATAAACTACTACAGTATGACGTAGCGGTATAGAATCATAGAAGAATAGGACTGGAAGGGACCTTGAAAGGTCATTGAGTCCAGTCCCCTGCCTTCACAGCAGGACCAAGTACTGCCCCTGACAGATTTTTGCCCTAGATCCCTAAATGGCCCCCTCAAGGATTGAGCTCACAACCCTGGGTTTAGCCAGGCCAATGCTCAAACCACTGAGCTATAGGAGTTACATACTTCCCTTCGCTGAGGAAGTGCGTCCTGAGCTTTGGAGACTTCCCAGTTGAAATCCCAGACAAGCCCCCACTTGTAACGCCAACAGACAGGGGTGGCATGTTTGTAGAAATTTTGGTGGTGCCCAGAACCTGCCCAAACTTCGTCCCCCCAAACTCCGCCCCCCACCTGCCCAAAGCTCTGGGAGGGAGTTTGGGGATGGGAGGGGTGCAGAGGGATGGGGTGCAGGGGTGAGGGCTGTGGGGTGTCGCTGCAGATGAGGGGTTTGGAGTGTGGGAGGGGCTCGGGCAAAGGGTTGAG